TCAGCTTGATGCTTCTGCAATTCTACAATTAGTTTTGACTTTTAATCTGCTGAGGTTCGCATCAAGAGCCAGCACACTCAAGCAGGAGAAACCAAGAACTTAGATCAAAATATATATCAAGTATTCCTCACATGCATGATTTCCAGTACTTGTAAGCAGTACTTTATGCATTCCAATAAAAAAGAAAAAGAAAAAAGACTCAGTGCTCATAAATAAAACATGGCAGAATTCACTCATCGAAAAAATAAAATTAAGAAATATATGAATAAGAATTTAAAATAATCAAGCAGTTAAAAAAGAACATATTGAAAATAGAGAAGATTTCAAATGGGATCCCGAGACTGATTAAAAAATGTTATTTTGTTAAATAGCAAGCCCAAAAAGAAAAGAATGGTTCTCACTTGTGTAAAGGTAATAGAATAATCCACATATATGTCAGCACCTTCTCTAGAAAATAAAGGATCATCTGCAACCTGAATAGAAAAATGAATAGGAATTTCACAAATAGGAAAAATGACAGCAATTTAAAATTATAAAATCTGCTAAAGAGAAATGAGAAATAATACTAACTAATTGTGAAATGGTCAAGCAATGAAGATATTGTAAATAAAGAGCAATTTCAGTTCACAAGCACAGGTAAAGTGAGTTCATAAAGAAATTCATAAATACCACAAATGTTTTCCCTTCACTAATAAAATTTACTCAGTTAATATTGAAGTGTATTAGCTAAATAGATATGGTGATGAAAAGCAGACAAAACCCGCTTCCTCCTCAGAATAAAATCGATGCCAATCAAGTACAAAAGTTACATGCATGACCTTGGTAATAAAATTATGTTTGAGAACAAAAAAATCACTATTCAAAAAAGGATTGCAAAATAAATCGTCTGCAGGTAATAATAGCAAAGATTTCTAAGAAAAATGGGTATAACCCATGAACTTGAGTGAAAAGGGAGAGGATAAGAATAAAAACATCATTTTTGTTGTCCCCAATCATTTGTTTTCTTAACCTAACATAAACTTAAAATACCAATAAATGTAGTGACGGACCAAAAACATGGCAAAATAAGGCTTATTTTGGCATTATATTCTTCTTAGATGATCATGTTACTCTAGAACACTTGAAGTGAAAAGTACTTGCAAACAAGTAGAGTTTCCAAAATCTACTGTCATTTTGTTCCACGTGATGCAAAATTATGTGAGTTTACGAATCATGAAGATTTAAATGCTTTATTTTATGCTTGAAGGGCTCTTCCAATGATTTATAGAATGGATCCCTAGACAGTCGTACATTTTTAAGAGAAAAGGCAAACTTCAACAGGATATGGAGGGAAAAAATAAAGAATTAATACAAAAAATTGTGATATGAAAGAAACATCCAGCTAAATAATAATCATGATAGAGAATTTTAAAAGTTGGCAATGGCAAAGAATTATGATGCCTTTAGCTTTATAATTAGATTGCCTGGATGCATTCCCCGTCCACCAGTATTACCAGCATTTGGTACGCGAATAACATCACCAGAATCCACTCCTAATTCATGGGAAATATAAAAGAAGCAATTAATGAACTGCCATCAGAGAATACAGATTACATACAAATATTTAAAAAGTTAAAAGAAAAAAGTTTGCAAATGGGAAAAGAGGATAATTGTAACTATTCTATGGACAGAATCCAGGTTATGAGAATGTCTACAATCCGTACTATGAAAGCAAAGCATATATACTTATAAGCAACAAGTATCTGCATCTGTCAATGAGCTTTGGTGCAATGACTGTAGATCTTCGTCAACGCAAATAGTTAAATACTTAAGACCTTCGGACTTAGAAAGATTCAAAATATGTTGAGCTCAGAAGAAGTGATGCAGGAAAAAAATTCAATCTAAAACATAAAATATAAAAACCTTTCTGGGACTTTTTTTTCCTTGTAGGACTTGAACATTAGTTGGCTAGGATTAAATTTATTTAGACCCTAAGGTACTTCTTTTAGGTTTCCAACAATACATAGTAATGTCTTTTACCTAGTTATTCAAAGTTTTCTAGTTAGGGTAGGTTTTGGAGTCTTAGAGAGCCTATAACCTAATTGTTCCAGCAAAGGCAAAAGTTCAATAACCTATTATTTACTATCCAAAAAAATTCCGTATGCTAAAATTTATGCCTAAAACCGTAAACCTTTAATGTTTTTACTTCAATATCTGGCAATATCCCTTTGTTCTCTCTTATCATTTTGCAGGCTAAAGCTTGTTGTCTCGTCAATTTTGCCAACGATTCTAATTCCAAACTTATCATGCTATGACACAATCAAGAATTCCTAGGATGACCCAAGCTCCAGATGCAAAGGAAATAGGGCAACTTACTAAAGATATGGAGAAATTTTGAGAATCTGGATATAATGTGGATGTCCGAACGGAGGTATTAGAAGGCAACTGCAACGCCTTAGATCTATCAAAATGAAGTTCGAGGATGAAAACTATGCATTAGAGAATATTAACCCTTTGCATAATCCAAGTTCATGCCAATTCCGGATGATTAGAAGATCAATTAGCTGCAACTCTCGATCTCAACCTCAGGAATTCAAATTGAAGTTTCAGATTGTCATGGAAGAATGCATGAAAAAAGACTGCTTGATTGTAAAGCAAGCTTAGATAACTATTTAAAATGCAAGTCAAAGAGCAAAAGGCACTTTCTAGCTGAAACTAAAAAGAGTTGCCCCATAATAGTGCAACATGAGTTATGAAAAAGGGTTTAAGGTGAGATGTTTTCCTTTTTCCTTGTGTGCCAAAAACATCGTAACCTCTTTCCCCATGAATAAGAGCATTCAGCACTTGGAATTCAGTAGCATGATATCTTAAACTTGTACTCCTTGTCATGACAAAGTAATTAATATATGAACTCGCAACTATTACCACAAGAAAAACCAAACAACGAAAGAAGGAAGCCCGAGAAGTAACAGTCTAATCCAATTCACTAATTTAAAGAATGGTCTTAAACAATGACATTTTCTTTATGCAAATAATCAACTTGCAAAAAACGTTAAAACCAACCTGCCGGTATTGTTACTTTAACATCTTTGACACCTTCAACCACCCCTGATCCTCCGCATGCCCCACAATTGTCCTACATGGTATCTATTAAATATTGATCTTTCAAATCTATCAAATTTTGGAATCCATGATAAACTGCAAAATCAAACCTTAATGATTTGGCCAAATCCTTTACATGTACCACAAGTAGCAGTGAATGGAGGAATTGTTACCTAATAAAGTAGT